TATTTATATTTTTTTATGTTGTTCCTGATAAAAAAAAAAAATCTCGAGGAAGTGTTTCTATTTTTAGTGACCGGAAGGCGGAACTTTGGACATTGGGAGTTTACATCTCAATAATGATTAACTATGTTGCCGTGTGAGTAAGATGAAATAGTAAAATTTCATTATAATTATGAAAAAATATAGTATTGTTTAGATTGGATTTAAATATATTATATTAAATATTAAATAAAAATAAATTTTATGATATTAAAAAAATTTATTTAATAATTTTTATTTTATAATTTGATATAAGTGAAATTATAAAATAAAATTATTTATAATTATATTAACTAAGTATCGAAGAAAGGTTTATAATTATACTAACTACAAGAACCAAGCCTCGTAGCTCAATGGTTTGTCTTCAAGTCTTAGTGTTTGGGTGAGATGGTGGTCGAAATTTTGAAATCTACCACTGACGTGAACTCTACCAAACTGCGACTTGATGACCGCGCACTTCATTTGAGAAGGTAGAATATTTACCCAATTTGAGAACCAACTACTAATAATTAACTCACTAACTTCTTAACTATTACCCTTTGTCAAAAAAAAAAAAATTATACTAACTACAATACCAAAGAAGATTATAAATGGACATTTTTGACGTTAAAAAAAGAAAAAAAAAAAGGAAACGCTGGAGAGATTTGTTAGTTGAAATGGGTTTATAATATGGCGGGAATCAATCTTCTCACTTCATCCTCCGATTCCTATGTATACCAACGCTCAAAAGCTCAAAAGCCCAAAACCCCCAGTTTAGCATTTTGCTCCTTAATCTGAGACAGAATCAACCGCAAATTCTCCCGGTATCTGGGTCGTGAAGAGTCATGAAAGCTTTGCTCTTCACACTAGAAACTCCCAGTCCCCAGGTGAGAATCCCGTCTGTCTTATTCTTTCTCTCAACTCTCCATTCGTAGTATTCTTGGTTTAATCTGATAAACCCATGAGTGCTGAGTTCTTTATAAATCTGGGTGGGGGTTATTGATTCTTGAAATTGTGTGTTTTCTTGGGTTCTCTGAGTCCGTTTGCATGTATATGGAAATGGCTTTCTTTTCTTTATGATTGGATTTGCAATGATCAATGATGGTTCTGTTCTTGCATAATGAATTTGAAGACCTGGGTTAGATTTCATTCTATATCAGACTAAACGCAAATTGGAAAACCGGTCTTGAATCTTGAATCTTGAACGTATGTCACA